ACACTACACAAACAAGTCCCGATAAGTACGCGGAGTACGGCCGACAAACAATCTTGGCGCTGATCATTCGAAACTCACATCNCTCGAAAGTGGATGGCACCACGCCAAAGTATTGCCAAATCTCGTTGCCCCCGTTCATGCATGAGTGCCAGTTAGAAAGCAGAGTGGCTACCCGGTACTGCTTGGCGACAGGGCTTAGCAAGAATTTCTGCTGCGGCTTCATGTTCACAAAGGCCCACTTGCCGGTCATCTCTTTGAATCCCCACTCCACCGTTACGCGGCAGTGGCTCGTACGCTTGTTGAAGTCGGCCATCTCTGGCGTAAAAGGGCCGACACTTGACGCGCTAAAAGGACAGACAAGGTGGTTGCGCAGTCCATACGCCGGATCTCCGTACAAGCAGTACGGATGGCCTGTAGGGCTGTTTAGCATCGACAACTTCTCCATCAACCCAGACTGCGCTAGCATAAAGCTGTCATGACGTGTCCCCGCCACGGGGCCCCACAGATCCACAAATAGCCCGTCTGGTGTAATTATCCCTTGGAACTTCATGGCGTGCTTCCTCTTGTGCCCATTGTAGAACAGTCGCTGCCAGTACTTGGGCCTGCGAATCAGTTTTGGGCGTACGGAAGGATGGGCCACCAACAACACAGGTCAAGACATACACCCAACAGTGCTGCTGTATTTCATCGTTCTGCTAAAACTTCATCGCATGTTGCAACCTCGTGGTAAATCGCAATCGATCATGTGCACGCGCAACCACACGACAGCTCCACACAGATAAACATATGGTCTAGTGAGTGCGTCGCAAAACTCGAGGAACGCACAAGATGGCCTGCTGATGCTGCGTTGGATACGCGGCGGGAAAAGCAATCCGCGGGGGGAATCACGCAACTACTGTCTGCGGTATGTACCAAAACGCCAGAATCCGTTGAGTCGGACTTCACCTTGCAATGCCACGCACGGTGCCATCGATAAATCCCCAACAGTGAGTNCTTCCGCAAACTCGATCAGGTGCGGCTGCAGGCGTGCCACGTCGAGGGACAGCAGATACCCCCACCTGAAGTCTAGAAAATGCAACATCCAGTTGAAGGCTTCGCAGATACACGATTCGCTCATCCCGAAAACCAACCGCATGTCCTTCAGGCGGCATGGGAAACGAGCCGATACAGGAGCACGCACAGAGCCTCACGTCCGCTTACCACGAACCCACAGTCAGTTCGGATGAACGCGGGGATCAACAGCAGATCCAGCATCAGCATAACCCGCATCACGTGACACCACACAGGAAAGCAAAGAACGATGTGTTACTTGTTATTCCAGTGCACACCTCTCCGTTGGATTGTGGGTCTAACATAGCACGGTGGCTTGACGCACCCAGAACGGCTAACCCCTCGCGACCCACGGGATGCTGACATACTGCTGCTGCTGTTGAACGGCATACTGACACACACACTCAGACGGACCGGCGTTTCGTGCGTAATGTCTCCGTCAAACGTGTCGACTTCAAAGACTCTGACCACAACCTCGTGCTTACGTCGTGCTTACGTCTGTCCGCCTCCCCCCCCGTGTCGCACGCAACCGACGAGTGCGGGGGAACAGCGGAAGCAGCCGGATCCGTATCGACCTCTGCGGTTGAGGAAGGACAAACACCTACGGGTCGCCTTCCAAAACAGGGCCTCCAGCCGCCCTCCGCCCACGGCGCTCAGGCGGCCAACGGGAGAGACCGCCGCCGAGCTGACGGCAACGGTGATGTCGGCCGCTGCTGAGACCGCGCCGCTGGCGAGGTGCGCACGAGGGCAGAGAGGCTGGTACACGAGCGAAGCGCAGCAAGAGATTTCCGAATCGTCTAAAGAGAATAAGGCGGCCCAGCAGCAACTGCGTGGGGCCTCAAAGAACAGCGCCTTCGAGGCGACCCTGAAGGCGATGCTCAAGGCGGCGCGGAAG